TAAGTGCAAAAGCAAGCAATACATGTTTTGTCAAAAGAGGAGGAAGCAATAGATGACTGTTTCAATCAAGCCATAGCTCGATTAAGGATATCTACCTCTTCAGCCATGAACTTGAGGAAGCTATTTGGAGTAATGGCCTGTCTCGTACCAAAAGAAACACTAGTAGTTCTAGTTTTATTTTTGGTGTGTTTCTCCCCACCACAGTGAGAGCACTTTAAATTTCTCTTGTCTCCCCCTTTCCCACTCTTTTGAGTAGCTAAAACAAGAGTTGAGTGCTCCATCTATTGTGTGGGAGCCTTAACATTCATCTCTTTCCTCCTAATTTCCTCGTTTTTTATTAGGTAGAACACATGTTGTGAGCTAGGAGTTCATCTCTCCCCGAAATCTAAGACTGAATACTATCATGTGAAAAGCCTAATCCAGCAAGAGATTTAAACCGTATCTTCAGAATTTTTCCAATAAATGATGAGATGATGATCAAGTTCTTCCCAAAGTCCTTCGAGGGTAGCAAAGTAAGTAGCAACCAACAAGTTTCCTTGATTCAAGACTGCAATATCTTGTGTCATTATTCTTTCATTGTCCATAAGTATTAGATAGCTTTTCCCAAATTTTATGAGTTGTAGGATAGTGCTGAACTGTCCTAGCAATCTTTTGAGTCATGGAAGACAGTAGCCATGACATAACCAAGGTTAGTCCAACCCCCATGGGTAGGATCTTCCATCTTCAGTTCCTTACCTGTCCATTGATGTATCCCAGCAAACCATGACTTGTAATATCAAGTTTTGCAGAAATAGACCACTCCTAAAAGTTATATTCATCCAGTTTCACACCAGTGATTTGAAGACTAAGGAAACTAGGGTTTTCCATGTTCAAGAAATCCTCACAAGGTCTGTTTTCCTTTTTGGTACATTTGGTTTCCGAGAAAGGGAATGGATGGGAAGTATATTGGTGGAATATTCCACCTTTCTAGTGTTTGTTTCACAAGAAACACTAGGAAGTGAAAGGGATGCGAGTTCTCAAAAGTTAAAATGTGGGGTTGCACCAAAACAGTGAGACCCCGCTGAGAAGAGAAAATAGAATGTTTCAAGTGGGAAAATTTTGTCGATCCTGTCAGAGCACCAAACTCGCATCTTTGTCTTCTGACTGTACATCCTTCAATGGTTAGTTCTCCGATGATGTTTCCGGCGGTTTCGTGCGACACTAAGTACAGATCCGACATCCTCTCTTGTTTTACTTCTATTTTTGTATCATTTTTATGAGGTTTTGTTGATTTCTTCTCCTTCCACAACCCATTGAATCACCCCTCCAACCATGGTCGGTCAGACTAGTTTTTCATCGCCGGAGAGCTAAAACATGACACCAGTGTTCCAGATCTGCTGCTATTTCCCTTTGGTTTAACACCGACATTCAAGATCTGGCAAGGACATGTGTTTGTTCCAGATCTGATTTTTTTCCATGGATTTGTTCCAGATCTGGTGTATTTCATATGTGTTCGTTCCAGATTTGTAATGGATTTTTTCCTCTTGATTATTGTTTATTAAATGTGTCGTATTACTTATTTGGTTAGTATTTGATGGGTTCTATTGTTTTGCTTTATTTGGTTCCATGGATTATAGTTCCGATTTCTGTGTCACTGAATACTTGGACATACTTCATGAATCTTTAGTTTCGATTCCATTGTTTTGATGGTTTTAAAAAACAAGAAGTTTGTTAAATTAAGCCAATGGTTTTCTGTTTTTTTGTTTTTTTTTTCATTCCTCAAAACAAAAAAAAAAAACAGAGCTCACGAATCTGATGATTGCCTTTCCAATATGTTTCGATTCTGATGCTTTGAACATTTGAACTTGTCCTAAAAGGAACTAAACCCAATGGTTTATGTGGATTAAATAGCATGAGTTGATGACCGATAGAACTGGTCCTTGTTAGTGCTTTTCAATGAAATTAAGTCCATATTCATGTAAGAATCAATTGGTGCAGTACATGTTCAAATTTAGGTAGCATCTCAGTTTCTCCATTGTTATCTCTGAGTTCCTTTTCTTTCTTTCTTTTAAAATATGCAAGTTTAAATTAATGTAGCCTTAAACATATACACATTACAAGTTTATAGCTTTTCAACATGCCACATTACTTATGACATCATATGTTAGAACTTTATCTCCAAGACATGAAAGAAAACTCTTGTACATTCAATCAAATATCATTTTCCAAGTATAAACCAAGCTTGAACAATGAATTGATTTGATAACCATGGCTATCCACCATTGTTAATTTCAAGATTGAAACCTATAGAAGGGTAAACCATCCATTAATTTCAAGATTAATACAAACTGATCAATGGCCAACTGGTGTGTAATTGATCAATGCAGACAAGTTGGTTTAAGAAATCTCTCCTACCTTACAAAACATGCTAATAGGGTTGTGTTGTGGAGTTGGAGAAAGCATGGACTTATCCAAGTGGGCCAAAATCAAACATCCTGCAAAATTTTCTCATCAACCAAACACTGGAAGTGGATTCTGTAGGATAATAAGTCTCAGCAATCAAACATAGGGACCAAAAATAAGAAAATAAAGTTTTCCTTTCTCATCCCATCCCTTCTCATCCCACTGTTTCTTGGCAACCAAACAGACCATTGAGGTTACTTCACTTGAGTTTGAGGATGACATTTGACCTTCCAAACTCAGCTGTAACAGAGACCAATACTGTTCCGTCACACCAGAATCAAAGAAATAGTCTTTCTAACAGTGTTTCAACTTCAGTTCTGCTGTAACTTGTGTAGGAACATGGACAACCTTTCAGCTTCAGTTTAGCAAACCCCAATCTTCCACTCGTGTGGTCTGGGAAATCCCTTGAACTGCACCTTCATGCAGCCCACAAACTTAACAACCTGTCTTATACAGGTCACTCTAGTAGTCGAAAGTCTACTCCAGCTCTATCTTGCTCTAGTAAAGCATACCCGAACCTGTTATGGGTCTCCCTGGGCCTTCTCCTAAGGGGAAAAACCCTAAAAAGAGCTCAGAAAACCATGACCAGCACTAGGGTTTTAAACAACCCAGAAAAGGAAAAAAAAAAAGAAGAAAGAGAGAAAAACAACAGCCGATTTGAATTTGAACCAGGAGAAAACTAGTATCAATGCACTGATACCATGTTAGTGTTCAGATTTAAGAAGAATAGAGGAGAAGAAGAAGGTTTAAGAGAAATGGGGCGTTAGCAGCTCTAACAGCCCCTAATCTTATTATTTATAGGTGGGTTTAAGAGAGGGAGTACAATGACAAATCTGCCCCTGTTTAGTAGGTGGGAAAGAAAAGAAAAACAAAACATTAGTACAATAGATGCCCAGGCCCATTAATCCTCAGAAAGAAACATAAAAGACAACCACGTAAAATAAACAAATAAAGGCCCAAGCCCACAAGCTAGGTCTAGGTCTCACAACCTAAAACATGGAGGCGTGAGGCATAGTTCAGAACGTAAGAGGCGTAAGCCTCCTTAAGAGAAGGGAGGATGAGGAGGAAGAAGATGCAAAAGAATCTCATTTTTCTTTACTTTTAATAAAAATCTTTTATGTCTCCAAACAACGATTTATCAGCTTGGTTTGACCATCTCAGTTTGGGGGTGATAGCTTGTTGAGCGTTTGAGCCAAGTCTTTTGGGCCTTGAAGTACTCAGATGAGTTGGCCCTGACCCTGTTCATGAAAGTGGGATCTCAGTTCGTAATGATAGACTTTGGATGTTGTTAGAGTCAACAGTACAAGGGTATTTTGGTCTTTTGTCTATCTAATTGAGAGTGAATAGTCTTTTTATTCAAGTTTAAGTTATGTGTCCTATCTTTAATGAGGGACAATACTGTCTTTTGTAATTCAGCTTATACATTATAAATACAAAGTGGGTCAGCTGGGTAGAGTGACTTTTTCCCTTCTGGTTGAACCCTTCTTCTCCTCTGTCTCTTCTTCTTCTTCTTCTTCTTCTTCTTCTTACATACTTCGAACCTAGAACTGAATAGGATTAGTCTACCTATTTACAGATGTCATAGAGTTGGGCTATTTATTAAATAAAAGCTCTAGCTACCTATGCTACTTTATAAGGATGAGAGAGAGTGATGAAGTGGCTGTACTTTGAAAGCCAATCAAAAAGTACTAAGATCACTGATTTTCCTGATGCTTCCAGAAAAATCTCCAAAAAACCTGCCTTGGGCTTCAACTAGGGATGAAAAATCTCCACAAAACCTCTCCAAAACTCTCCCAACTGGGCTACATAAGCTGCTAATTAATCAGCCGATCAGTTCTCCATACACACTATGTATGGCCAAGAAATGAGAAAGATGTCAAAGGTGAGAACCTGCTCTGTTACCAAGTTGCGGAACACACCTGTAATAAATCAGAAAATACAGAAAAGAAAAGAAAGGAAGAAAGAGAAGTTTCAGCAGAAGTTGTGGAATAAGATGAGAGAAGAAGAGAAGGGAAGAGAGAAGAGAAGAGTTCGATCCCTCTCTCCAGCCCTCAAAGATATCTTTCATTTCTTTAATTCTAATCTGAGTAGAATTCCATGAATTCCCTTAATAGGGCAGCCAGCACTGAAAAAATACTAAAGAAACAAAAACAGGTCCATAACTAAGGCCCACCACTTAAAAGAACATAAGCATAAACATAAAAAGAAAGGAACTAAGGTCTATTCGGCCCATTCTCACTACAATAATTAACTGGAAAAACTTTTCCTTCTCAATAAACAAACTTGATTGGTGGGCTTGGGCCTTTAGTTCTGCTCAATCCTCTTCCCTCATGAGTTAGGGAAGTAGAAACAACTTCTCTTTGAAAATTAGTTTTGTTTTACTCCAGTTCATTGAACTTGTTTGAGAAGGAATTACTTGAATTGTTGAGTTGGCCTTCATTTTTCTGGGGGCTTATTATTGTTTCTTGCTTTGTTGTTTTTTCTTTCTGTTAGTGCAGGTTGTTTTCCAAAAAAAACTATATTGGTCTGCTGCTATTAATCTTATTTCCTTTTTTCAGATAAAACTCCGGGGATTGTTGTCCCATATCCAACAACTACGGATTGGTTACTGGGGAATCTCATCTGTGAAGATCCAGTCTGTCTCACCCTATGGATTGCCATCTCCACGCCTTCAAGATGCAGCAGATGAAAGTCAGCAACCTGCTGAAGCTTCTGGTGTTGGACGAAGCTGGGTGCAGAGCATGTTTAGCAGGGACACAACATCAAGAGCTAACTCTTTCAGTCGTGCTCGTAAGTAGACTTCTGATAACACCTCTTTGGGTATATTTCTTATTAACACAAAGGGCGATGTAATTTTAAAGTTCCTTGGGCTTTTTTAATATTGTTCTACTTCATTGTCTTTGACCTTAGCTGTAAATGAAAGCACAAAAAATACTGCTTCTCCCCGCAAGGCAGATTTACCAGCTGCTGGACAGAAGAAAACTCAGTCAAGTATGCGGATACTTAGGGGTCATAACGGTGCTGTTACTGCTCTACACTGTGTAACAAGAAGAGAAGTGTGGGATCTGGTGGGTGATCGTGAAGATGCTGGTTTTTTTATAAGCGGGAGCACTGACTGCACGGTATCTTACTAATTTGTTATAATTTCATTTTTTTTTTTCTTTGACTCTGCTTCTTTTATGGGACAAAACTAGTTGGGTTGAGTGTTAGGACTAAATTCTGTATATGCTATATTATTTATACTGCATTTTACTGTTTAAATTTTGGCTGGCAAGCATAAGAACACAGGTTTGACTCTTATAGTGGCCACTTTGTGCATAAAAAATGCCAAAGGTTAGGACTGTATCCAGTCTACTCCTCTCAAGACCCCAGATAGCTGGGACCAACATTGGCCAATGGCTGCTTTTTTAATTTTACCGTTTAATTTCTTGGTATGAAAGTCCTTGTTTTTTCAATGATTTTTCAGGTTAAGATCTGGGATCCTAGTCTTCGTGGCTCTGAACTACGGGCAACCTTGAAAGGACATACAGGGTTTGCTACTTGTGACTTTATTTTGCACTATTCTGCTTCTTTATTGAGCTTATTCAATACTTCCTTTTAAGAAGTAATGTAAATGATGGTATTAATAAAAAAAGGAGATATTCAAGTACAAGTATATTCCTTGTACATCGAGGTGTCATGCATTAGGACTTATTTGGTATCTTTCCACTTCTAATGACTGGTTTGGTCAGATCAATCAGATCCACAGTTTCTTTTAATATCAGTACCAATATTTCTTTACCATAAGTTTTTGTATCCTGAGATTTAATTTGATTGAGTAATAGATTCTCCCTCTTTCTATCAGCGTTTTAAGACTTTGATGGCTTTTTCTCATATTTAGTGGTTCTCTTCTTGTAGGGCTGTTCGTGCAATTAGCTCTGACCGAGGGAAGGTGGTATCTGGCTCTGATGATCAGTCTATCATTGTCTGGGATAAACAAACAACTCAACTTCTAGAAGAGCTGAAAGGCCACGATGGGCAGGTTTGATTACCTAGCTCCTTGTTGCATTGTTTATCAAATATAAGTTTTTAAAGAAAATAATGTAATCAACATTATGGTATCTTGAATTCTTGATATAATTTGATAGATACATTGCAACAAGTAATCCATTTGACATTATTGTATGTTTTCTTATTTATATTTATAGAATGCCAAGGAACTGAATAAAACCTCAAATTCATTAAATTGGAGATTGATAATACAAAAATGCAGCCACATCTGACATCCATAAGCATGAACTGAGATGGGAGTGGGAGCACTGGAAAACCAAATTTGAAAGGCTTCAAAGGTCCAGATTGGTCCTAAAGTGCTTGTGTGTATACTCAAACACAAATAGACATATATAACATATATTACATTCACAACCATGTAACCCTTGAGAATGAAACATCATATCTGTGGGAACCAGGAGAGGAGAAGAAAGATCATAGGGTGAGTTGGGAGGTGGTAACTAGAAGTAAGAAGCTAGGAGGGCTTGGGATTGGGAATATTAGGAAAAGAAATATGGCACTGTTGGGGAAACGGTTGTGGAGGTTTCCAATGGAAAGGGACAAATTATGGACGAAGATAGTGGCTAGCATACATGGGCTGGAAGACAATGACTGGGATCTAGGAATCTTGGCAAGGGCTACAGTTGCTTCCCCTTGGAAAGCCATTCATGATTTGCTTCTGGTTTTCTCCCCTTGGATAAGGTATGATTTGATTTCTGGTAATCTTATAAAATTTTGGGAGCAGCCTTGGGTTGGGGATTCATCCCTGATGAACCCATTTCTTCTTTCTTAGTTCCTTCTGAATCTACTTCTAGCTTTGGGTGGAATCTAGGGTTGAGAAGAACAATCAGGGATACAGACATGGGTTGTATTTCATCTTTGCTAGCCATCCTTGCAAATATTTTCCTGGACCCGAGTAAGGATGACTCAGAATTTGGACCCCCTCCTCCTCTGGTTCCTTTCCTTGTGCATCATTTTTTGAGACTTTGGTCCAACCTCCTGCCCCCTTTGGGTTGTCCTTCCCTGTTAAAGAGATTTGGAGCAAACCCATTCCTCCTCGGGTTGGTAGTTTTTGTTGGGAAACTTTCCTGGAAAGAATAAACACAAATGACTTGCTTCAAAGAAAAAGACCCAATTTCTGTTTACTTCCCAATAGGTGTATTCTTTGCAAAGCTGATGGGGAAACAGGTTACCGCCTTATGGTTACTTGTCTGGTTAAAACTGTTTGGGAGTGGGTTTTTTCCCTTTTTGGATGTACTTGGAATCCCCCTGTGAGTGTGCAAAGCTTGTTCTCTCCTTTGTTCTCAAGGTGGCCTAAGAAAAGAGGGAAGGTCATGTGGAGAAGCATTAGGGCGGCAGTGTGTTGGTCCATATGGGAAGAGAGAAACTCACAAATTTTTTCGGACATGGAAAGATCCGTGGAAAACTTAATTGAATTGATACACTTAACGGTAGCTCACTGGCTGAAATCTATGGAGCTATTCTCAGATTTTTCCATGGTTGACATATTGATAAAGTGGAAAGAAATAGCTACCTCTGCCTAATGTAAGAGGACCTCTAGACCTTCTTGGTCCCCCCCCCCTCCTTCTGGATTCATAAAACTGAATTTTGATGGTAGTAGCTTAAGGAATCCTGGGCCTTCTGGGATTGGGGGAGTGTTCAGGAATGAGGCTGGGATTATTAATGTTATTTTCTCAGGTCCAATTGGAGAGGGTGACTCTCTTAGGGCTGAGATTCTAGCAGTTCTGGAAGGAATCCAAAGAGCAAGAGAATTAAACATACGATGCTTGGTCATTGAAGGTGACTTGGAGGTGGTGATTAGGTGGCTGAAGGAAGACAACAATGGTTTGTGGAGGTACAGAAATGAAAAGAAAAAATTTAAATGGCTGAGTAGGGATATTGAGGTGAAGTACAGTTGGGTGAAGAGAAGCGCTAACTCAATGGCTGATGGGTTAGCCAAGCAAGGGGTGCTTAAGGAATCTATGTTTTGGGCTAATTTTTAGCTTTCTTCTTTGTTCCTTGTTGTGGGGCAGTTAAGATAGTTTACCTCCCCTTTCTTGTACTTAAAGTTTCACAAATTTTATTATTTAATAAAGCATCTTGTTACTGATCAAAAAAAAAAAACATCATATCTGTGTCACGTAACAATTACACTGAAGAAAGAGCAGTACTATATTGTGGAGATGCATGAAGGCAGCATCATTTAGTCAGTTTGGGAGGAGAGAAATGCTAAAATCTTCAAGGGGGAGATTTCACCAAAAGAGGTTTTGATTAATAATGTCAAGGTCAGGGTAATTCATTGGGATACGACACTACCTATTTCCGCTTCTTTGTGGATGACTTGATTAGAAATTGCAAATTATTGCTTCCTCCTCTTCCGCATCCTTGGTGCCAGCTCTCTATTCTTGATCCCCTCCTCATGACCAGATTATGCTTAACTTTGATGTTTGTAGCTTTGGAAATCCAGGGCAGTTGGGTGTTGAAGGTGTCTTTAAACACCACAATGTCACAACAGCAGTTTTATATTCTGGACCTGTTGGAGTTGTTAACTCTGTAAGAGCAGAATTATTTATAGGCATTCAAGGAGAAAAGGCCTAAGGATTGGAAGGGATCGGCACTAGAGATGGTTGGTAGTAGGAGATTTAAGGACTATTCTTTGGGTGGCTTAGGAGAGGGAGTGAGGGACCTTGAAAGTACAGGTATATATCAATGGAAATTAAGCATCTTGGTGGAGTATTGAGAGCAACATTCCATTCAGTTCAAAGAGAAAGTAACTGTTTGGCAGATGGATTAGCTAAAAAGGGGGCTAACAGATCTCAAATGTACTTGGGGACAGTGTTTCAAAAAGTGCTCAAGGCATACACGCCTGGAGGCGTGCCTCTAGGAGAGGTGCTAGGAAAGTGCCTCTATTGCACTCTATAGAAGAGGTTTGCACCTTTTATGCTTTGTATTTAAGCACTTTTTATAATAAAAATGCTTGAGTTAACCATTTAATCATGTTCCCCATTATATATTAACATAATGTAGAGGACGAAACCCTCCAAATTTGTTTACCCTTGTATCAATGACTCCTGTTCACCCCTTGTTTTGCCAACATGTCAGCCAGTCCATTTACTGATCTATAAATCCATTGCACATCTGCCACCGTTTCCCTCATTAACACTTCTATATTCTTCTTTGTATTTCTGTATAACAGGGAGTCTGCTCTTGGTTCATCACCATTGCACAACCACTTTGGAATCCCCTTCTTATATCAGGTTTCGAAGGTTGCATGTTTTAGCCACCCTAAGTTCTTGCACAACCGTAATTTTTTTCTTTTTTTTATGGAGAAAAGATAAACTATTGTATTACTATGAATATTCCCAATGTACAGCAAGAGATTGTGTATTGGGAATTTACAAAAAGCTCTAATACAAATATTGCCTTTACATTCTTACAAAAACAAAAGGATTTTCTTAGTTATATGGTCTCCCTTTAAACAATTTATGCATGCTTCCCATGAAAAAATAAAAAACATCACTAGGATTTTCTTAGTTACCAGAGTCTCTTCAGTACTCTTGTTTTCATGAGGACTCTTTCCAAGGCTAAGGGCTAGGGCCTTACAAGGTGTTCTGGATTGTTATACAATTGTCTAGAATGGGCTGGATGTTGGCGGAACCTTTCGGGACTTTGTGGATTCATTTGGGGCATTCTAGGGCCAGAGAAGTCTAGGAAGGGTCTGGGCTTGCTCTAGTGCCTTCTTGTGTATTGTTGTACCCAAGGATCAAAATTTTGTCACGTATCGGCCCGTATCAGCTGATATGTATCGTATTGGAGCCTTCCCAATACGCTAGAGGGGGTGTTTCGGGTTGGCGAGTGGTTCAGGGGGTAGACCATCCTTAAACTGACCCCTCTGAACCAGTTTTGAAAAAAATAAAAAAAAAAACATAAAAAACAGTACCGATACAGGCCGATACGCCCTACCAGCATATCGCCCTGTATCGATATATTGAACCTTGGTTGTACCTTCTATTGTGAGTAATGCATGTAATTTCCATTCTCCAACTTGTGTGTATTGTGTTGTACCTTAGTGTGGGTGTGGTGTCTTTTGTGCTTTGGCTGTGGGAGCCATTGTGAACAAATGTCTCCTTCAGCATCTCAGCAAGGTGATAGTGATACTGGGCAAGATGAGGGCAGACTGATTCTACTTGGAGAGCCAAGTAGGGTGATACATGGTATAGCTAAGGTGTTTGTTGGGATAAGTGCTATCAGAGCGGGGTGCTAAGGCTAGGTCCATGGCATTTGGTATTAGAGCCAATTTGCTGTGTTGTGCATGGATGTGAGGGGCTGAGGGCACAGCATGTCAAACAGCCTTGACATTGGCTAAGGCATGGCAGTACTACTCTTTCCTGTTTGGCATGTTGGATTTTCAACCTTCCTCACCTTCAGAAATATTTTCCTCTTGGCCAAGGTTCAGAGGAAGCAAGAATTGTCTGGAGCTGTATCCCCTTCTCTGTGTGCTGGACATTATGGAAGGAACGGAACAGGAGGCTGTTCGAAGACAAATCAAAAGGCATTGAAGTTTTGGTGGCCTCAGTAAGAAAGCTGGGTTCTAGTCCTTCTGGAATTTGAGCAAGTAAACAGTGCAGATTTGGTGGAAAATTTTTTTGGAAATTCTTGAGATTCAAGCTTGTAATGTAAACTTGTTTCTTAGTGTTTAATGGTGTGGTGTGTCATCTTGATCCCCAGTCAGATTGTAAATTTCTTCTTTACTCTTCAAAAGAAAAAAGAAGGCATGGGCAGAGATGGACAGTGGGGAGCACCCCATGGGCCAACGAGACTGGCTCATAGATGCCTTTGCTGCATTCAAGGCCAAGGTTCAAAATGTTGATATTAGTGGAAATATTGACCATCCAAATATAGGAATCATGTTAGAAATGTCGTATGGAAATATTGTACAAATTATAGACATGGTAAAATCATTGTTCAAATGTGCAAAAATATAGAATGTTGTTTTGTGTAATGATAAATGATGCACAGGTAGACCCTTCTAATTGTTCACCAAATCATCAAAACTACATGATGGGAGAGTTCAAGCAAAATTTAGACTTGTAGAGTGCAAATGGTTCTAATAAATCAATCAAATAATTTATTCATGCACTAAAAATTAAGATTTAAGTTCATCTTTGAAAATAATTTTGAGCTGGCTCAAAGTGGTAATCATGTCCATTAGGTGGGCAAGAACACTACTACTTCACATATCTAAAATATTGCTGCCAACTTATGTTATAATTCTATCTCTTGAACTCCACATAACACTGGTAACTTTCATTGGCGAATATGTTGATTCTAGTAATATTTCGTATCAGTTCCCCTGGAAGTGGAATTATGTCATGGAAACATTAGTTAATTTGTGGACATTTTAAACCATGTTCAAAGAGAGGCTCGCCGTTGTGCAAGGATGTGGCTTTGGATGCATCACTGATCCCAAGGATATTATCTTTGAGAAGAGAAGAGTCGGTATTGATAAACTAGTAGATAGAGGTGGCAGTTGGGAAATTTCTTGGCCTTTTCTTTTTTGGGGGAGAAGCGGTGATGAGGAAGGCAATTGAACAATTTGAACAAAATAGAAGGTGAAGGAAAGGAGTTAGATTTCATTGATGAAGAGTGAAGGGAGATGTGGGTATTCAATGCAGGTGAGAGGGTAAGTCATGGATGTATGTGGCTACTGGCTGCTCTATGTTGGTTCCCGGGCTCTGTTGGTTTGTTCTAGAGGTTGCTTCTAGTATTGGGTTGCTGTTTTTGTTTTTTTTTTCTTTTTTTCTTTTGGGTTGGTTGGGCTGTAAGTCATCTGGGGGCCTTTTGTTTGGGATTTGGATACTTGTTTTTTAGCTCTTATGGGGGTGTTCCCTCAACACCATTCTAGGTTGTATTTGGCTTTTCTTTTTTAATAAACTTTCTTTTTACTTGGCAAAAAAAAAAAAAAAGTTGTTTGATTCATTTGGGTAATCAGTAGGGACTGATTGAGGCAAAGGTGGTGGTTGGAGGGACAAGGAGAAGGTCCTTGGGAAGGGGCCACCCAAGTGCCTTGTGTGTAGTGCAGGTCACTTTGTCAGGGACTGTCTAGTGAGGCAATGTTTGGGGGAGCTCTTTGCTGGCATATTGTTTCTTGATCCTATCTTTTCACATCATGCACCATATAATCAAATAATATATTTTATGTAGTTTGTCATTTGCATGAACATATTTTCATATACACATGTTATGGTAGAAACCATACTTGCTAGAGTGGGAAATTAAGGCGTTGTTTGGTACCAAGGCGTTGCGTGCCTGTTTTGAGTCCACGCAAGTGCCACATAGGATATTCTGCTTCAACAGTCAAAAAACCTATTTGCCTAGGAATCTGCATAACTCACAACCGTTCGCAACACCAAAAAGGTGTTTTGAGCAAGAGGCTAGTGTTTCTCGCAATGATGATGTGACGTGGCAGCAACATTGCCGATGTGACCCTTTTAACATAGGTGAAACCATTGCATGCTATCCTACATGGCAGCAACATTGCCAAACTGTTTTGTGGCCGTTTCTAGTGAGGTGTTGCATTGCTGTTTCCAGTAGAAAACACCTCATTTAAAACAGCCACAGTACCAAACACCTACTAAACCATAAACAAGGTCCAAAATATCGTTATGTATCGGGGCCTTCCCGATACATCCCTACAGGGGGTGTATCGGGTCAGGCCATGGTTCAGAGGGTAGCCGGGACTTAAACCAACCCCTCTGAACCGGTTTTGAAAAAAATAAATAGAACATAAAAAAAAGCACCGATACAATAAGAGAGAGAGAGAGAGAGAGAGAGAGGAATGAAGATCTTTTGCAGTTGATGCCAATTGGAAGTTGCTAAGAATTTCAAGGCAATGCTAACTTGGTTCTATTTTCTCTTAAGGTTTCCATTAAATAGAAGATCACTGGAACAACAAAATTGATGTTGTTATTTTTATCTTGTTGCAAGTTGAAGGGGCTAGAAGTGAGGCTAAATAAAAAAAAAAGGGAAAATTCCACTTTAGTACCCTGAACTTTGGGGGTAGTATCAAGTTAGTACCCGAACTTTCAAATGTGTCACTGCAGTACCTAAACTTTCAAAAAGTGTCCAAGTTGGTCCCTGCTGTTAACCGACTGTCAGTTATCTATTGAAAATGTCAAAACTACCCTTCAAAAGAAGACACTGTTCATTGTCTTCTTCTACCTTGAGACTGAACCGGTTATCTTCAAAGAAAAAGAGAAAAAATATGAAATATGATAGAGGAAAACAATAACTGAAAGCAAAGAAATAACTAGAATAGAATGTATTTCAGATCTAAAGGTACAAGACAATGACTTCATTAGTCTAGAATCTCAAACACCTCAACCGGTTTAGTCTCAAGGTAGAAGACAATGAACAGTGTCTTCTTTTGAAGGGTAGTTTTGACATTTTCAATAAATAACTGACGGTCGGTTAACGGCAAGGACCAACTTGACACTTTTTGAAAGTTTAGGTACTGCAGTGACACGTTTGAGAGTTCGGGTCCTGAAAAAAATGAGAGAAATGAAGATTCATTTGCAATTTATACCAATTGCAAGTTTCTAAGAATTTCAAAGCAACACTAAGTTGATTCTATTTTCCTTTAAGGTTTCTATTAAATGGAAGATCACTAGAAATTCAAAATTGCTATTTTTATTTTTATCTTGTTGCAAGTTGGAGGGTCTAGAACTATAGAAGGGCTAGGGGTAGACCAAAAAGGACATGGGTCAAAGTAGTAAGAAATGATTTAATTGCTCATAAATTTAACAATATTTATGGCATTAAATAGAATAGAATGATGAAACAGGATTCATGTATCCAACCCCATATAGTCGGGATAAGACTTGGGTGATGATTTTCTTTCTTTTTTTCCCTTTTATGTCCTTAATTATTGATTTGGTTTGCAGGCAGGACCTAAATCAGAATCGTAATTGGAAACTGATTCTGATTGTTTCTGTTTGGTTCACTTGGAGTTGGAATTGGAATCAACTAAAAATTTTTAATTTTGTATTAGTCTATTTATTATTACTTTAGTAATATTTGTTTTTATATAATTTTGTTAATAATTTTTTTATTTTATTAATTATTATATCTTATTATTATTTTCTTATTAGTTTATTAATATTCTATTATTTTTGTTTATTATTTTAAAATTAATTTCTTATTATTTAATAAATAATATCTTTGTTTCTTATTATTAATTTATTAATATTATATTGTAGTGCCATTATTTTATTATCATTTTAATTATTACTATATTCTTACTTTATTATTATTATATTATTATTACTTTCATAATATTTTATTATTTAATTATTAATATATTATCATTAATTTCATAATATTTTATTATTTTATTAATATTAGGGTTTGGGGGGTTTTTGTCATGAGTTATTTACTTCTTGATAGACTCTGGAATGGGAATTCAATTCTGCCAAGAATGGGAATTGGAACCCCATTCCTGCCGAACAAATGGTTGGAATCGGAATGGGCCATTCCGGTTCTGGTTCCAGGCACCTATTCCAGTGAGCTCTTATAATTGATGAATCAATTAAGGCATTCTGTAATAGATAACTGGAACTTTTAATTGATTGATATTATTCATGTGTGCAGGTTAGCTGTGTGCGCATGTTGTCAGGGGAGCGTGTCCTTACTGCTTCCCATGATGGCAGTGTAAAGATGTGGGATGTGAGGACAGATACTTGTGTGGCAACAGTTGGCCGTTGTTCTAGTGCAGTTATTTGTATGGAATATGATGACTCTACAGGAATCTTGGCTGCTGGTGGTAGAGATGCGTATGTAATTTGGATTCATAATTATGATTTGTATAACTTCATAGTTTTTCTTTTTTTCAAACAGAAAAAAAAAAATAGAACAGTAAAATATGATCTGAAACAGTATTTATTTACCAATTTGGTGGATAGAAAACCCAACCTGCATATGCTTGCATTTTCAGGGTTGCAAATATTTGGGACATCCGTGCTGGTAGGCAGATGCACAAACTTTTAGGTCACACAAGATGGATCCGGTGAGCCAAAAGCATAGTAATGTTCTGTTGCTGTTTTACTTAGTTATGTGATCACCAGTCTATAACATATCTGCCTGTCATGCAGGTCATTGAGGATGGTTGGTGACACTATTATTACTGGTAGTGATGACTGGACATCTAGAATATGGTCTGTTTCTCGAGGAACATGTGATGCTGTTCTAGCATGTCATGCTGGTCCAGTTCTCTGTGTTGAGTACTCAATTCCAGACAAGGGAATAATAACTGGTTAGTCAAAATATCCCTTTTATCCATATAAGATTTAATGTTAATGTTGTGGTTGTAACTATTAAAATCCTGCAAATTATTTACCACTAACGTATACATACTTTAAGTAAATAGAAATAGCAGAGTGGAGTGCTCTAACCTGAACTTTATGAACTCGTTTTTCAGGTTCAACTGATGGGCTGCTCCGTTTTTGGGAAAACGAGGATGGTAAGATATTTATCATTATCCATGTTACACCACTGATATCAATATAGTAGCAAAACACACCTGCAATAAATCTAAAAATAGAAGAAAGGAAGGAGAAGAAGAAGCTCAGTAGAAGCTTTAGGAAGAAGAGAAGAGGAAGAGAATAGTTTGATCCTCTTTGTCTCTCTTATTTTATTTAATATGTGCTTAAACAAAAAAATGTGTAAAGTTGGGTGGCAGATATAACAGAAGAAATAAAGCTACTGAAATGGATAAGAAACTAAGGCCCATTCGGCCCAGTCTCTCTACAATCACCCTCAAGCTGAGCATTGATGTCAATCATGCCCATCTTGTTTACATAATGTTGTAGCTTTTCCTTGGAAACTCCCTTAGTCAAAAAATTCATCTAGTTGTTCTTTTGAAACAATGAAAGGAAGACACTTTCCCGGAGGCCGCTCTCTCTCGTATAAAGTGTTTGTCTACCTCAACGTGCTTAGTTCTGTAATGACAAAGCGGGTTATAAGCAATGTTGGTAGCAGCCCGATTATCACAAATTCACAATATAACATCAGGGGCTTATCATAAGAGATATACATCTCATCTAGGAGAGATCTAAGGCATAACAACTTTGAAACCCCATGGGCCAGACCCCTATACTCTGCCTCAGGTGAAGATCTTTCTCCTATTGACTGTTTTTACTCCTTTAGGAGATAATATTTCTAGCTACCATAGCAGAGTAACCTGATGTGGATCTCTTGTCATCTATATTATCCACTCAATCAGCATCTGTATAGGCCTCTAACTAAATATGACCATGCTTGGCAAATAGTATGCCCTTCCTGGGAGTGCCCTTAAGATAACGTAATACTCATTTTGTAATAGCCATATGTATGTCTCTAGGGCCATGCATGAACTAGC